ATGATTTTAGCATAAAAATGAAAGAAGATAAAGGACTGATTAATGCAGACATTAATATGTAAAACTTTAAATATTCTCGCCCCTTTTTTAAGGTAGAAGCTTCATGCAAAATCAGAAATATGTATATAAGTATTAAAAAAAAGATTAACACTAACTGATTCAAGTGAAAATGTGACAAATAAAACAGTCTGTATCCTGTACAGCATATGGCTCTTCACTGAATGTCCAGTTCTGTGAGAGGAGTAAAAAAAAAAATTTGTGAAGCAGACAATAATGTGAGGGAGAACAAGAGTGAGGGACAAAGAGAGAGCGAGAGAGTCTAAAAGTGTCCATGCCAGGCTTCCTTTGGGCATGAGTGAGAAACTATGAGTGGTGTGTCAATGGATCAGAAAAGCACATGCAAACACACACACACACACACTCCCCACTGAGCCAGAGCCTCTGCCAGAGACAGGTCTATGGGTCTATTGAGGGGACTGGGAGGGAGCTGTCCCTTTCTGTAGAGCTAATGAAGCCTGGATCCCCAAACATAAAGGAATGGAGAGAGTTAGCATTGCGCTCCTACACCCATTCACTCACTTCCTTCCTTTACACATCTCCTGATGAGGTAATGCTGTCTCTCTTAAAGGGATACCGTAAGTAACGCACCTTTAGTCGCACAACGAACGCATCACGCCAAGATATGTGCTCCTATGAGCTTGCACAGGACCAGGCTGAGAGGGTTTAGCACAATTAGTTCTTAATGAAGATGTTCATTTTTATAAATTCACATCTACCTTCACCGGCCACTTTGTTAGGTGCACCTTGCTAGTAGAGGGTTGTCTTTTTCCTTCAGAACTGCCATCACTCTGGGTGGCATAGATTCAACAAGGTGCTGGAAATATTCCTGAGATATGTTGATCTATATTTACATAATAGCATCAAACTATTAGATTGAGATCTGTTGACTGTGGAGGCCATCTGAGTGCAGTGAACTCATTATGTTCAAGAAACCAGATTGAGATGATTTCGTTTTGTGACATGATGCGTTATCCTGCTGGAAACAGTCAGGTTAAAGGGTGTGCCATGGAAATATCCCCTAGACTATCACATGATCCATGCTTGTGGTTTACACCAAATTCTGACTCTACCATCCGAATGTCATGGCAAAAATAGAGAGACTCATCAGACAAGATATGCAAGGTTGTAAAAAGTTACTAACTTACTCTTGCCTTCCTATCAGCTCAGAGCAGTATGACATCTGGCATAAACAAGGCATTTCACCCAGAGAACTGCAGCTCACTTGATATTTCTCTTTGTCAGACCATTCTCTGTAAACCCTAGAGATGGCTGTGTGGGAAAATCCCAGTAGATCAACAGTTTCTGAAATACTCAGAGCAGGCTGTCTGGCACCAACAAGCATCTCCCCCATTCTGATGTTCGGTTTAAACTTCTACAGCTTGTCTTGACTACATCGAAATTCCTAAATGGACCAAGTTGCTGCCATATGATTGGCTGATTTGATTATTGTTGATTATTTGAGCAGCTGAACAGGTGTACTTAATGATCTGTATATAGTTGCAGTTTTCATCATCAGCTGGTCACTGGTTTTTGGCAAGTGTTAATCTAACAACAGTAAATACAGTTTTTTAGGGGACTAATCAGATCTGGATTAATACTAATTTTTAACATGGACATTGTAGATGTTCTTTTAAATCAGAAAACATTTCACAACATTTTTTTTTCATAGTTTTGGACAATAATGAAGAAAGAAATTCCTGGCATGTGAATAAACGGTCTGAACCAGAGGACTCTGGATTTCCTCCATCATGGAAATGTGGAGTCTTGGTACAAAGCTGCAGTCAGTCAGCAAGAAACAAAGACAGGCACCACACTGGAGAGCCTGAGACCAACATGTCACTCAGAGAAGAAATGTCCCAGAGAGCAGAGATGTGGAGAGAAAAGGCTTCCAGACAACACAATCACACTTTCAGCAGGGGAGGTCTGACTTTAGGCGGCCTGTCTATCTGCCTGTCTGCTACTCTGCTGTGACTACAAGATGATGAAGGAGCGCTTGTCCAAGTCTACGCCCAGTCCTCTCTGAACAACCACACTGAGCTAATAATAGACGGCAGTGCTTATCAAACAGTCTCAAAACTTCATTTGCATCTTGCAAGACCCAGACAACAACCAGAGAGGCCCTACACACACACACACACACACACACACACACACACACACACACACACACACACACACACACACACACACACACACAGAGTCATGAACCAGACAACCCCTTCACTGGCCTTGACCCATGAACTCTAGGGTCCTCTTTCACCTGCTACGACAGCATTCATGCTGCCGAGGCTGTCTCGCCGGCAGCCGACTGTTCTGCATATCTGCTCGCTAGATTCCCACGCTCCGAGCTCAGACCTCCTGCACGGAGGACAATCACACTTTAAACACGGCTGTATTCATACAGGTAATTATGGAGATCAGTATTGTATCTGTGTCTGACTGTCTGACATTTGTGGGCCTCACGCACTGTCTTCACAGCTCAGTGCATACTATGGGGGGGTGGCGAGCTTTCCTTTTCCCTTCTTCCCTCTCAAATTGATCAGTCTGACTGGCACACACACAAAAAACCCTTTGATTCAGCACAGCACGGCGATCATGTATATTTCTAATAAACGTCTGTATTCTTTCACCATAAAACTCGGTCCGCTATCTTGCAAAGCGCTGGTCTCGTGTCGCCATTCCCCTTCCCACTATCCTCTGCATCCCTCTGTTTTGCTTGTTCCCTCTTCTCCAGCACATCAAGGGTAAACTCATGACTCGCCTCGCCTTTCTTTCCTCTTCCTGACTCTTTGCCGTTTGTCATTGGCTGAAAGCAGCTCCACATTGGCTGGACAGAAACGGTGATGCAACGAACACGAGGCTCCTGTGTAGTAGGGGTGTTTACGTGTTTTTTGTGAGAAACGGGCTCTGAGCGCGCATCTGCTGCTCTCCCACAAATAATGTGACCGCCAAACACGGACGGGCGCAACACTCTCTTCTCTCGTGTGATCATGCGAGGGAGACCTTCAAAAGACTGTGACTGAATTTGCCTCGCCGCGCAGCATATGGGCACCCTCGCCGTTCTATGCAAATGGCCGAAATGCAGACAAATCTGCACAAATACAGACAAACTAAACTCCCCCCACCACCACCCTCCAGTGTCTCATTAATGGTTTCTCCTAAAACCAGACGCCCCCCTCATCAAATAATAACCTCTCCACTTACACCCCCGCCCCAACTCCATCTTCCCCTCCTGTGCACACCCCGCCAATCCCATCCTACAGTCTAGACCCCACAACCCTCTCCCAAACCAGACACCCCAAAATCTCCCCCACCCCAACCAACCCCAACCCACCCCCACGCCTCCTCCCTCTTCTCTCCTCAGCTCCCACGACCAGCAGACAGACCCTATGATTTGCGTGACCGCCATTTTGCTGCCCACAGTAGACCTAACTGTACTGGCGCAGCAGCAGCTGCCTTGATGGGCAAATGCAAATGCGAGCGCCGCATTGTTGCTTGAATTAACGGCCCCACCACCACTACCCCCCCAACACCGAAAAACAAGACCTGCTCGATCAGATGCGACTACACAATGACGCAGTGCCGTAACTGTAATACAGAAAACGTGACATGTTCATTTACACAAAGCGGCTGTGAGGAGCTGTGCAGAATGCTATTATGCATGGTTACGGGATCAAACGCATTCTGTATCCCCCCCCCCGATTTTAGAAAAAGGTGCATTTCCAAAGTCTCAAATAGGTGCAGCTGAGGCGTCTCCCGTTTTTCATGCGATACTTCAAAGCTACAATCCGCCAGTCTTCAGGCGGCAATTTTTGTGCTGCGGCCTATTTATATTTTTCATCTGCAGCTCTTTTCTAGCAAAATCAGTCACCCCATGATTTGCTCAGTGCCATGGTAACCAGACACCCATGTGCATGAAAATGAGACTATTATGGTCTGTGTGTCTGGAGTTTGTTGGGCCTATGGATCCCTACTTAATTAGAGTCTGTGTGCATGTCTGAGCCTCTCTGTTTGCTTAATGCTTTCATCTGTGCATTATGTATGTCTGTGTGTAAAAAAAAAAAAAAAAAACCCCAACTGCGAGTGTGCATGCGTGACAGAGCGCGATCTGATTAAACAAAGCCCCAGCTTAATCTTTTGTACAGTGTCACATTTGCATGCGAGGGAATCACATGCAAGCAAGCGCACCATATGGCACAGTATGTCTAGACAGTTGATCTAGCATGGACCGAACACCTATCAAACACATTTCTGGGTGCGAATACTCGCACCTTGAAAGAACCCCCCCCCCAAAACCCAAAAAGAAACGGCATGGAGTACGCTTTAAAACATCACTTCGCTCCTGCTCGCTTGTCGCCAACGTGTGCCTTCGTAGGATCAATTACCAGCTCATGCCGACGACGTGATGTTCGGAGGTTATGCAAATGCAATTAGCCTTGATTTGCATTCGACGACAACAGCTAACTGACGCACAGATGGCAGACAACGGGGATGCACTCGCCATTTTTTGGCAGAGGGAAAGACTGGCAGCCATTTTGTCTGAAGCTGTGCCCATCTGGATGGAAACAACCACGCCGCATTACTGTGACGACGACAGCAGTTTGGGAGATGTGGGTGCACACTGCTGCTGCTGCTCGCAGCTCAAACACTCAAGGCCAAACATATACAGTCCATTTACACACACACACACACACGGCTCTGTGATGTAGATAAGAATTATACAGCGAGAGTACAGATTGAAAGCACGAGTGGCATCTTATAATTAAAGAAACACCTCTTTTTTTTCACAGCTGTAATCCTAAATCGGCCTCAAAGGATGCCGAGTTACCATCTCTCCCTGTCACAGGCTATTTTAGGCAATGTGTGATGTAATGACAGCACATTCAGAGTAGTTCATAGAGTGGAAAATGTGAAGTGCTAAAGAGAGATACTTGCCATTTTACCATCTCCACTACAAGGTCTCTCTGCTCTATGATCTCCAGCCCTCTTTGCTGTTCAGTCAGTTTTTTTTAAACAGTCTGAAATTGAATAATAGACATCATGGAGAAAAAAAAAAGCTCATACTTCGTGTGCCAGTATTTCTTGTTTGAACAGACACGTGTCTACAGCTCACCATAGTAACAGCAAGCCAAGCGAGTGGTAGAGAAAATAAAGATCTGTCTCTTTGTCAAATGTAAAAACTAGTTGGGGGAATAAACAACGGTCGAGTCGAGGATGGAGAATGAGTCAAAAGTAGAGCTCCCGAACTGTGTTTTTTTTTTTATTATTATTATTTTTTTATCAGCCCGAGGCAGGAGGTTGGGGGGATACGTCAATCTTATGATGGAAAAAAAAGGCAAGAGAAAGGAGCATCCCTCTTGGCAGTCTTTCAACGTTCTGGGCATTGGGTATTATTTGGGGAGAAATCCCCTTCAGCAGAACCACACACACAGCCAGTGGAGATTGGGACTGAGGTCCAGTCCAAGGAGCCAGGGCTGCAGCTGAGAGAACCACACAGGACCTGTCTTTTGGAGGTCTGCAGGCCCGTAGGCCACACACTTAAAACACAGGAAACCCCACTCAGAGCTGTGAAGGTTTTCTGTTTCATATTGATTTCTCCTGCATGCCGGTAGCTCCAGAGGTGATCTGAGCCTTTGGGGACCTTCTCCATCCTTCCCGGCCCACTCACTAGCTCCCCGCCTGGGCTTCACTGGCTCTACTGGACCCCTGGATGGAGGTACAAGCCACAGGAGGAGAGGAAGAAGACAAGAGCCCATGGCAATGATGATGAGCTGCGCCGGGTCTCTGAGTTCAGTCATCCAGCAGCCTTTATCCAGCCTTCCAACCACCCACCCTTGTTTCCATCTGAAAAAGGGAAAATAGAGAGTGTTTTTCAAAATCTCACCTTTGGCATTCAGCATCCCTCTGCTCAATGCAAATGCAAATGCAAACACTAACACTTTGATTAAAAATACGTGGGAAGAAAACGCCAACTTGCTCTTTTGTAACCCGCCCCAAGGCTCCCACTGCTGTACAGAAACGAATAAAAATTCTCAACATGCTGTATGAAAGACAGAAGCATCAATTTCTGTTCGTTTTTCTAAAATGTTATGCACAAATATGAATTTTTCACATTAAAATCATTTACATTTAACCTTAACCGTGAGGAATTATTAACAACAGTACCAATATGCATGTAGAAATATTATAAAAGTATTCTGAAACCTGTTATCATGCTAATACGCTATAATCCTTTGTGCTTCTTTGTTCTTTTCTTTAAAAAATAAGAATTGAAGGAGCCTCCCCGAGTAACCTGCACACACTGGCCCTAGTTTCTATCAGCTGAGAGACTCAGCTCGGTGTGTTCTCCTGGAAAACGATTAACACAGTTATAGCCAGTCATGGGATAGTTTGCTAGGGAATTTAAGTTTACAGTAATGTGCGTGTTTTCATCATATAATGGAAGGAGCAACGGGAGTAGCCCAGCGAGCCGGAGGAAGATTCAGACACAATGCAGCCATTGAGAGAGTTCAGACATGGGTGTTAACTCGCCATTCCTTCACACACAATAGGGGCCCCCACTACAGCCAGCATAGGGCACAATGTTGGTTCAGGGCAGCCCTCCACCCAGTGACAAAGAAAAGAGCTGCATTATCAAGATGGGAGGAGAAGGAAGGGTGAGGGGGTGCAGGAGGAGAGAGACAAACAGGAGATTGAGGGATATTTGTGTATGAGGAGGGAGGTAGAGAAGCAGAGGGGAGGCCCTGCGACCCATGGCTTTGGACTTGAGGAACAAAACAGCGAGACGTCACCAACGTCAGCATCAGACGTTCCATCTATTTTCCGTCCCGCTCGCATGTTGTCAATTTTATGAGCGAGCACCGTGAAGAAGCTATTCGCGCATTTACAGTGGTGCAAAATATGATGTGGGAAAAGCAAAGACTACTAACAGATGGTTTATTCCGAATCCCATGAAACGACTTTCAAAGCATGAATTAAAGACGCCACATTAGAAATATTTGTGCTAACTGATATTTTGCAGTGTGCAATTTACTAAGGATGCCTGGTTCTGTATTTCATTTGTAGGAGAATTAATGAGGAGAAATAATAGCGTGATTCAGCCTCTGCTTCGGAGCGGTTAATATGTAGAACATATGTTCTTCTTGTTAGTTAATCGCTGTGAAGAAGAGCCTGGAAAGAAGCAGATCTGTCTTTGATCACACATATGTGGTTATGGGGTTTGTCTAGTATATTATTTAAATATAAATAATGCAATTTTTTTGGGTTCCTGTCAAAAATATGCTTGGGACATTTTCAAGAAATAGATGGAGCCATACTGAACAAACCACACATAGCCAGTACCAAGCCAGGATAGCAAGCTGTATTTTGGGGATTTGCAGACTATTATATTATATTATATTATATTATATTATATGCTTGGTGGATCCATATAAACTAACGCAAAAGTTCTTTAATGGTTTCGTATTATGGGCTTCTCTTATTCATGTTTTTATTTTCTTTCCTTTTTTTAACATCTATTGGACAATAAAGTAGAGAATAAACAGGAAAGTAGGAGAGAGAGCAAGAGGGTTGACAAACAGGAAAGCATTCAGGGTGGAACTGAAGCCAGACCTCTGCAGTCTTTTGGTATACGTGTTCAACCAAAGCCATAGAGGTGCCTCATTATTCAGGTTTTCAGTGGCATGCTCTGGTGATACATACTAACCCAGCAAACAGTTTTTGCATTCATTTTTTTAAAATAAAACACATTACTGAATAAAATGTACACTTCACTTTACATTTAACATATAACTGCAACGCCCCTCGTCTGTTTTTGCCTGGTGACCTTATTTCCACATTTCTTCCACCGTGTCCCTGTCAGACTCTTCATACAAATTTTACCAACTGGTAATAAAAGCAGCAGCATTTTTGATGCAGGTGCATTTTAACTACATCCAACTCCCCCCCCCCCCTTTTTTTTTTTTTCATTGGATCTGAAGGACCAAATTGTTTGCCTGCTTTTGTTTGTTCCAGTGAAACTCAGAGATGAATTTGATGTACAGTATGTGCATGAAATGAAGGACATGGGAATTTATCTGCACTTTAATGGCTTCATATTTGCAGCAGAGAGCAGGAATCACATCATCTCCAACGACTTCAGCATTTTTGAAACATCTTTAGTGGTCATCCAAAGACTGTATAACAAGCATTTGCTCGTTCTGAGTTGCTTGTTATACACTCTGCATGGTTGTAAGGGAGCACTGTTTTGGGAGTGAAGCTGACAGCGTTAACAATCCGTTGGTAATGTAGGTGTAAAAGCTTTTATTCTACCTTCCTTTTCCCAGACAGGTAAAAATCTCCTGCAAAACAAAGGGGCGACTTCTGCTTAAAATGTATAAAGGAAACTATCAGTTTGACAGTGTTTAAGGCCAGCAGGCTGTATAGGTGGTGACGAGGTAGTGGGGCTGGGGGTGGAGGAGTAGTTGGAAAATGTTTATGGAGATCCTGTGTCTCTCTGGGAGCCTAATAGGATCCCATGGCTGGAGTGAGAGCTCATTGTGCCAGTGTAAAGGATTACACTGCTAAACTGGTAAAACAGGGGAAAAAGCCCAAACACTCTCTACCTCCTATGGAGAGGCAACGAACCATCCAACAATGAGAGGGGAGAGTATACTGGGAGCTGACTCATTTCATCAACAGAGAAAGCGACCCAAGGAAAGGGAAGTATCGGAGGAACTGTGACAGAGGGGGGGAAAAAGACCGGGCAGTTCATTTAGCTGTATGTACAGAAACAAAAGTGACTGCAAATGGAGGGAGGGATGACAAAAAAAACAGAAAGGAAGGGGCAGGGGGGCTGCTTGGATGACAGTTTCAGTATTCGAGGGTAAAATGGGCAAATGATGTCTGTCTTGCTTGTCTGTCTGCATCCTGAGTGACAGTTTACAATCTCTGAGGCAGCAGGCAGGCCCAGCAGGTCGGCTCTTTGGCTCCATACAATCCCTCATTTCCTAACCTATTTTTTCCTCTCTCTGCCGTCTACCCTCCACCTTCAGCTCTCGTCTGTTTCCAGCCATTTCTAATCTCCTCCACTCTGCCACCACAGCCACTACCTTCACTCTGCATATATATATGTATGTCTATGTGTATATATATATTTTTTATTTCCACAATTTTTTAGTTGATCGCCAGTTAATTGAATCATTACGTTGACTGAGCCTTCCGTCGTTGTTTCTTTCTGACTTCACCACAAAAAGACTAATACTCTGCAACAATAATGCCCTCTCCTCTTTATGGAACTAGCTTGCAGGCTTTTTCTTGCCCTTTGACGCAAACGATGACCTGAATCAGTCCCTCACTGCACCTGCCTCACATTCATCCAGTAACTGTTTACAGACGACTTTCTTGGAGCTACGATCATGCTGAACTGGTAGATTAATTTTCAGCAAACATTTGCTTGCTTTTGGATTCTCTGCTCGCTTTAGTGTCTTATATAAATATATATTTGTTAAAAATCCCCAAAGGGTTTTTATTTTCATCGCAAAATTTGAAAGCACAGGAAATCCTCCGAACATCTGATGAGCATGATGACCCAGCATATTTCCTGCAGTTTTCATGTACAGCACACACATACAACATTATTCTCATCTCATTTGCTGTTCAAATGGAAACCACGCCGGGCACAAATGCATCATTTGCATCCTGCAACCTGCCAGGCTGACAGACTCCTCTCTCTCTCTCCTCCTTCGCTGTCTTCATCTCTTCCCTTCCTTCAAAGGCTGCTGAGGATGTATTCAAACAGCAGGATACACACTCAGCTAACAAACCTCATTAAGGGCCCATACACACTTTCTCAATGCTTACACTAGCTGTCACACATCCTCTCTCAATGCACACACTGGTGGCCACACTGACCACGACAAAGCATCTTTACAGAGCTAATTAGAAGGGTCCCCCTCTCTATTTGAAACTCATCTGAATAGGAGGGAACATGATAATGAGGAGGGGAGGACGAGATAGAGGAGGGAGGGACAGTTGGGGTGAAAAAGGAAAAAAGGGGCGAAGGAGAGAGAGGGAGAGAGGATGCATGGTAATTTATTTGTGGGGATGGTGGGCATGTTTTTTCGTGGCGTGGAATTAAAGTGAGGAGCCCGTGCAAGCAGGGGGAACCGAATTAGTGTGACACTGCTCAGAAGCAGCGACAGAGACGAACGGGGAGGGAAGTGAGTGCTGCACCATTTTGATTGGTGTGCCAGTATCTGGAGAGAGAGATAGAAAGAAGCCATGGGTGGGACCCTAGCTTCATCGGGAAGGAGGTAAAAAGAGCAGCCGCTGCCACGGACGGCATTTCAGAGAGGTTTACATGAACTCATGATCAAACTAACTGACACATGCAACACAAAATGTGGGGTAAAGAGGCACCAGATGATCACCTGAATTAAAGGGAATTATTTTCATTCCTTTTTCTGATTATAATTATTTATCTGTTATTCATCAGATAACATTTTGTATTTACTGAGGGACAAAACGTTGCATTGAGGTTAAGCTCTAAAATGATCCTCAAAAGCTGCTTCATCTCTCTGTAAACTTTTCCCCATTTGTGCTTTTTTTCCTTTTGTTTCTCTGAAGCATCTCTCTCTTTGTGCGTGTGTGTGCAGACAATGCCAAGTTGACAGTTAAGGTCTCAGATCAAGTTTGTCTCTGGAGCCTGTGTGAGTGGACATATCAGAAGCTGCACAAGAGCTCTATCAGAGCTTTCCATCATAGTAAATAAAATAAAAAAAGCTTTTTAAAAATATTAGAATTAAACTACTCGAAAACAAACAACGCTCAAACAAGATCACAATGTGAGTATGAAGGGAAAGAAATCCAGGCTCCCTTCAATGCTCAGCAGAATTTTAAGTTCAAGTTGAAGTTATGACCTAATTGTTCTCTCATCAAGGCCCAGTGGCCCCTTGATGGGAGTGCAAAGCATTCTGGGAGAATAGCAGGTGTCCCCGTGTCGCAGAGCTTCCCAGACAGCTTGTTAATTTGCACAACTTTTGCAAATTAACAAGCTCTCTGCTGTATGTGTGTGTGCATGCGTGTGCATGTATGTGTGTATATATTAGCGATGGGACTTGACCCTAGCGAGCTGCGGCAGTGTTTCGCGTCTTGCTGGGCGTGGGAAAAAGACGGGACCCCTTTTCACAGCTGCCTGGCCGAGGCCTGGGCTGCTGGGGGCCCCTTGTACCCCCCTTCACACACACACATACACACCCTGGTTCCCCCTTGTTCAAGATCCCCCCCAACTCTCTCTCTCACACACACACACACACACACACACACACACACACACACACACACACACACACACACACACACACACACACACACCAACCCTTCTCCTCCTTCTATCCCATTCAGGCTCCAGCCTACTGGCTTTCAAAAGCAGGACCCCCTTCCCAGCCCTTCATAAATACATCTCATTATTCAAGCCCTAGTTTGCATAGGGATTCCAAAGAGATCTCCACTCTGCTCGCGAGGCCTGAAGCCTCTCAGCCTTTTGGACCGCACAAGTGCAAATTTCGACTTAGTAATCTCCCTGTGTTAATATTTGTTTTAAAACGATGTGCGCACACTTTCAAAATTCTTTCACCAACATTGAAACGCATATTTTTTCCCTTTCTTTCTTTTTTTCTTTTCTTTTTAGTTTTTGCATCCGACTTAAAATTTCTAATTTGTCTCAGAAATTATGGAAAAATCTGTAGAAACTAAAGCCAGTGAAAAGAGAGTTTAGCATGACTATTAGCAAGTGCTTGTCTGTGTTCCATCTGCCACGGGCTATTGTACAGTACTACACACACACACACACACACACACACACACACACACACACACACACACACACACACACACACACACACACACACACACACTTCAGACCCTGTACAATACCACCCCCCACCCCCATTCACCATTCACTGCAATGCATTACTGCAGAGATTTATCTCCTATCAGCCTGTATAATACTGAGGTTATAATTTACATCCACTTTAGAAAACAGCAGCACAGGCCGCTCCTTGCATATGCTAATGTAAAGCTTGGGAAAATCTGGGCGATTCAAAGAACTCCATCCTAAATTTGAATAACTGAGCTTTCCATTGAGCTTCAAGGTTGTGGAACCACGAAGATTTGACCTTGCTAACAATATGTACTTACCGTTTAATTCCTTATTCTCGACTATTTAAGAGGGAATTGGAGGGAACGCTCTGACGGCCTTAAAGCCAGGAATGTTTCTGTTTCCATCTTGCTCCAATAACTGCAATTATATCATTTTTTTTTTTTTGGTTATGTTTCTCAGCAGCCTTAAAATGATCTATTTTTTCAATAATCTTTAACCTTATGAGTCACTCTACAGTTTTCACTTAATGCTGCTGCTAAAACCGAATTATGCATATGCTATAGCTTTATGCTGATCGATGCTTTGCTCCCAGCAATCAGAGATTTTTGGATGAAGGGGAGGGTGGCTCATCAAGGCATTAGGGGCAAAAAGGACAGAGCCACCCAAACACTCTTTCCACATGAGCAGGTCCAAACCTTGGGTGAGCCCTACGCCTCCGCTCTCCTAACGGGATAAAGAACCGCAGCAAAGATTACACGGCAACCTCCCCTGCACCTACCACACACTCCACCTGACAAATAGGATCATAGTGTTTAAAGGGATAAAACGCTGAATGTATGAGAATGAAAAGAGAGTTGTGAGTGCGTGCATGCGTGTGTGTCTAAGTGTGAGAATGATGGAGGGGAAAGGGGGGAGGAGGGGGTGATATACGACGTAAAAAATGTTAATACTTCAAAGGAAGAAAAGAAATGATGGAATTCAACATGGAGGTCCTACTTCACTCGCTTAGATCGGGCCATTTGCACTCTCTCATAGCTGCAGGCCACAGTCTACGGCTGTTACAACCTGTATGCATATTCCTGCATATATGTGAAAGGTATAAAACTGACATTTACACAAAATAAAAATGGCAGTAAATGTGTCTCCTAATGCCCCTTTTGCTTTGAAAGGGTTTATGAGAATTACAGCAACACACTTAAAAAATCACATTTGATACTAAATAATAAAAATAATATATATATTTTTAAGTATTTCAAAATTCAGGCTTAGTCTGTGTCTCTTTCTGGCTTTTTCACACCCACACACAGCCCACTATGGTCACACAGCTCAACAAAATATGGACAACAATCAACCACCAGCAAAGCTCCATCGCTGGCTGATGAATCTAGATGCAAAACTTTCTGAAAGCCTCCAGCATCTTCTGGTTTGACCTCTTGGATTCACTCTTAAAGCTACCCAAGCTGCATAAGACAAAAAGATGCACGCTTGCTTCTGCGCTTCGCAACCCTGTCGTGGGTTGTTACCGATATGGAAGCAAACAACGTCGGCGTTCATCATGCACGTCTTCCTATTTTGTGTATTCACCTGCAGGCTGATTGCTGCTCCTCATCTTGTCTGGTGGCAGCTTGACTTCATTGTGAGGTGATAAATAAGGGGCTGAAATTCCCGGCATTTTTCTTCAAAGATAAAAGAAAGGAAAATCAGTTAGCAGTGATTTAGAGGCAGTGGATGAAAACACGAGGCAGGAGAAGAAAGGAATGCATTGTGTTTGTTAACCATACAGCTAAGATCAATCTCTAAAACTTGTTTACTTCCTTGTATTTTTCCTCTGTGCACTTTACATTATTTTGCCTCGTTGCAAGGTTAAATCTATTTTGTGCTGCGCATACTGTACACTATAAATGTAAGATGTCATGGACAAGTTACACAAAGTATTTCTAGTGAAGGAACTATACCACAAAGCAAAGCTATGCATGATGTTTTATCAGCACTGCATCACAGTTGCTAAGCTACGGAAATGCAGAATGAGACATAAAAAATAGCGCATAAAATAACAGGAGAGTAGGTTAGAAATTTTTAAAGAACATCACAGAAAGACTCATATGACATATTAATCCCTTTTTTGGGCATAAATGGAGAACATGGAGGTCAAATCGTGTATACTTCCTCAACCAGGCAAATGTCAACAACCCAGATGCACAAACATGGACACACACACACACACACATACCATTTGAGCTGTCTTGTCTAACGGCGCACATCAAATATTGTCAGTCATGGTCTAAATAGAGCATGCAGGGACTTCAGGGATATTCAGTCATCTCTGAGGCTTGCTGATTCTGCTCTAAGAATAGATCAAACTCTGAGCCGATGTCCTATTTAGTTCTTATCTAACAGGCGAACACAAAAATAATCCACCCTGCGAAACACAGATTCAAACATATCTGCCTCATCTAACTTGGATTTGAGTCGAAAGCCTGTTCAAAATACACTGAAGAGGGCCGGGTACAGCCCAGTCTCTGAATGACTGATGCGGCGGGATGTTGATGTGTTGCACCTGCAGGTTCTGGTTGGGTAGCAAAGAACCAAACAATCCACAGTTATGTGATGGAAAAACACCGATAGCAGGTAGCACACAGCAGTTCAGTCCTGCACTTTCTCCCAAGTACTCCACTAGCTGGGCTTCATCTTGCACACCGAGTGGTGTGCATGTACATCCAATTATACATCACACTCCTAATGTCAAGTTAATTACAGCCATGGGACATCACTTAGGCTACACTGCTCATACAGGAAATACACTTGGAGTATTAGAGGAGTCAGAGAGTCTGCAGGATGCAGCTCTGCAGGATAAATTCACACTGTGTAATTATGCCTTGAAATGCAGGCTACAGCAACTTCTGGGCCTACAACACATTGCCATAACTAACATGTGAGATCTCAGAAAGCGATCTGATGCTGCTGGTGCTGCCAACACCGTCACGTGAGCTCTGGATTGGCCAATCATGTGAAGCCTTTAACTATTTCTGTCTCACCCCTCAAGATATTACTGTTTTAACACCCACACAGTTGTGACAACTACACACTAGCATGCGGTGTGGATTTGGAGAACGATTTCTCCACATGCGTGTCTCCCTCGTGCCTCAAAGTTGAACGAAACGCTGATATGTTGATGCCCAACAGGCCCCTGCATCACCGCGATACCCACGCCACGAGCCCTCCCCCCCCCTAAAAAAAATACAGAAGCAACATTCACGCCCTCGCAAGCTCCAGAGAGCCAGCAGCTCTGCACAAGAGGTGGACTGCCACAGCTACAATCACGCAGGTGCTGTTTTCCACCCGCCCCTTCCACCACTCCTCCTCAGCGGCGGCAGCCGCGGCGGTCAGCCTCCCTCAGCATCCGTCCCTCCCGCTTCCTCCTGCTGTTGCCCGCCCCGGCATCGTTTCCTCCTCCTCCTCCTCCTCCTCCATGCCGAGCGAGAGGACCCCGCGGCTCCGAAGTGCTCGGCGTCAGTTCGTACTTTCGGTTCTCTAGCTTTATGAAATTAAAACTCATACAGCTAGATAACCAAAGACACAAACTAACCCGTCGTCTCTTAAAGGGGCCGCCTCTCCGACACACGGGAGAAAACAGAGGGCAGAAAGAGAGAGGGGGGGGGCAGAGAGAGAGAGAGAGAGAGAGAGAGCCTGCTTGTGGTCTCATTGGACTGAGAGATCCTCACACACACTCACACTCTGAGTGAGAGAGAGAGAGAAAGGAAGATGCTCAACATATCAGAAATATTCATGAATTTATTTATTAGGATTTAGAGGAGAAACACGGTTAAAACACGACTTTAACACAAACGCTCACTTCTACACACACACGGTGACTGACAGCTTAGCAGGCTGTAGGCCTGATAGATCTTTAACCTTAACTATGCCCACAGTCAAGTATCACCACAAGTTGGTTAGATACTCAACCAGCGTTTTGTTTCGCACAGTATCTTAAGCCCATGCAGCAGTGATATGCACACAGCTTATTTCTTCATCCACTCCCATTTACCAAACAATGTATTTTTTTAATGAGTTTGAGCACCTTTGTTGTGCACACTGTCACACGCATGGGCCCTTTAACGTAAACCTTAACAAACGGTTTTCTATTGTAGTGTCACAGCTTCAGTTTATATTTCTGCAAACACGCTGACAGCGTCAGAATCATTGCGATGGATGAAGGCACACAGAAGCAAGTTAAAAACGCAAACACACACGGCACCTCAAGTTATAATCAGTTACACCAGTCACAAAGCCAGCATCCTACTTACTTGCACACCAGGCTAACTCCACTCCACCAGTCCATATCCTCCAAATATTTCAAATTCCACCCTGGGGTTTTAATTCACCTGTGCGTCTAGGTTTAATCGCATCCGAGAGGAAATAGCGCAAAAGCTCGGATACTCGAGACTACAGAGTGTCCACCCTCCTTCTCTCCCTGTCTCTTTGTGGATTTTGCAAAGGACCGACACGATGTCCTCTCCCTCACACGTGCAGGCTGCGACTGACAAGTGCGGAGAGCCCACGGTGTGCAGAGGGGATAAACTCCGCCTCAGAGAGAAAGAGCGAGAGAGGGAGAGAGAGAGGGAGAGAGGGCGCGAATCCGAAATTATTAAAGCCAAATTAGAAATGAATGCAGGTGCGTGTCAATCAGGAGCTGATTCCTCCAATTATACTCATTATCCATGGGCGTAAAATAGAGAGACGAACGCATCAATTATTTCTAAGAGCAAGATGCAGATGGAGCTGCATGGGTCAAACCTGACCTTTCACAGGCTGTATTTTTGAGAACTCAATTATAGATGTTTAAAACTTCCCCGTATTCATAATTTAATGTGTGGAGAAAAAATAAGGAGAGGACTGCTTCCCTCCCCTTTTCTTTTGAGCTTTATAATTCGGTTCGGGGAGCGTAATGGGAGCACAAACTTCCTAAATTCATTTACTCCTTACGACTATTCTGGAAGGTTTAAAGCTTGATTTGAGCTGTTAATTCATATAATCAGTCAGGAACAAAAGATAACTCGCAAAAACACAACTGATTTGGTGTCAGGGAAAGTGACTCGGTAAGATGCAAGGTGTTAATCCAAATGCTAGTTGTGTGTCCAGTTAGGCTTCCTCTGCTGTGCGCATTAAATAGCACACCACACACGTGATTATACATTTTATTGTATGGCAGCAGTTGGGAAATAAACCCAATTAGTCGTCGTACAGTCTCGTTACTGTATCATGTGACCTGATGGTGAGTGCAAACATTTTTATTACGTTATTATGACACAGTTCGGTCAGTGCGCACACCAACAGTAACATGTTAGAGGATTTAAACGAGACTCCACAGAGTTAAGAAAATGTTACAATACAATCTCTTGTTTTATTTCAAGACTATAGAAGCTCGCTGTTGAGGCACCGAGCAGAGGAATTCAGGGTTTTTTTGTACTGGCTGCAGAAAGAAAAAGGGTTCACGCCGAGCTAAATCCTGATAGTATTCAGGCTTATCGAGTGCGATATATTATGATGTGAGTGATACCCGGGCTGTGGAGATGAGATAGCGAGAACGATAAGAATCACGCCCTTTGAAAGAAGAAGCCAATGGCAGAGACAAGACCCGGATAGCAACTTGTAATATAACCCAAAGTTTGAAAGGATATTTAAAAAGCTGCTGGAATCAGTGTGTGCGTGTGTGTGTGTGTGTGTGTGTGTGTGTGTGTGTGTGTGTGTGTGTGTGTGTGTGAGAGAGAGAGAGAGCGAGAGAGAGAGAGAGAGAGAGAGAGAGAGAGACATGCATTGCTTGTGTTGTGGGGACCCAAATCATAAAGACTTGTCGTTCTTATGTAGGGACAAAAATCAAGTCCCCATGACGCAAATAAGGTGAACCCGTATCTTAAGGTTAAAGTGAAGGTCAGGGTTACGCATGTAGTAGGTGAGGCTAGTTAAAAAGTTAATGCAAGTCATTGTAATGTCCTCTGAAGACATGGATATAGGGATGCACGTGTGTGTGTGTGTGTGTGTGTGTGTGTGTGTGTGTGTGTGTGTGTGTGTGTGTGTGTGTGTGTGTGTGTGTGTAAACCAATAAAAGAGCAGGGAGCTACAGTCCAGGTTTTCAAACGAAGCTTGCATCAGATAGCAGTTACACAGGCCTATCTGATTATTGCGCACGGGCAATCTGTTAGTATCATGGAGGTGCAGCTCTGCTGTCAGGCTGCAGCACAGGTCGGACTTTACTGTATGAATCCTATTCTACTCTGCATCATTTATAAATAGATGGCCTCCGTTATAATGCATCCGAGCTTGTGCAGCACATAGTGCATTGGCGCGGTTAAAAACAAAAATCAAAACACGAGAAAGCCTGCATACAAAGCACATTTACAAATATTCTTTCAACATTAGAATGAGCACGGTCATCATTGCACCTGAGCATGCGTGACCAAGTCCTGGAGGACACGTGCTTCCCAACATCAGTTGCACCTGCTTGTAAAATATGTAACCTCCACTTCTGGCACCCATAAAGAAAAATATGAGATAACGTGTGTGTGTTGGAAAGCATCACACTCGATCACACAATCACCAATGTCAAAAACTGTTAAAAATAAAATAAAAATATCAGAATATGTAGGTCTTGATATCACCTGTTTGTTTTCCACGGTTAAAGAAATAATAATAGTAATAGTATTAAAACCTTTTAATGGTGACGGATCTACTTAAAACAGCTGCCAAATAATTTAAAATGTTTTTGGTTAAAAAGAAACATTTTTTTTTACATTCTAGTTTTAATGTTCACAAACGTCACCCACGGTCACAATTCCTGCTCTGAACATTTGAACAATATGTTGAAAGGTGTGTGTGTGTGTGTGTGTGTGTGTGTGCCTGGAAAGATTTTCCCACAAACAAGTGACAGGGAAAATTTGCCCCCACTCCCACCGCCCCCACCTCCCATCTCAAAAAAGAAAAAAAAAGAAAGAAAGAAAAAAAAAGAGAGAAAAAGAAGTCAACATCAAGTTCAACAACGTGCCGGAGAGAAATTTACATGACAATCAGGTCTGGGATCCTCCAAGTCTCCCCCTCTCCCTCCAGCCCCGCACAACAGAGTCTGGCGTCAGCCCCGCTACACTTTCCCAGGCTCACAACAATATCTCCCTGCTGAACTCTGCACTGCAGCGCTGCCTGGGGCCTCCACCTCCTCCCCAACCTCCTCCTCCCTCCCTACTACCACATGAATACTTCTTACATGAGCACATGGCAGCGGAGACCCTCATGAAATATTCCGGAGTTTGCGTTAACTTTGAAGCGAGCGAGCTGAGGTTCATCCCTGCACGATGGGAGCAAAATGTCCAATCTTTAAAGATTAATTTACAGTAAATATTAGGTGATCGGGAGGCCTTATTGTGCATTATTAGTATTTTTGGACTATATAAGTCAGTTGATGCTAATATAAAATCTCAATCACAGTTCTCTTATAAATTTAGATAATTAAGCAAAAATAAATTTTAGACGGATAAAGAAAAAAAATAGAATAATATGTGAAGCACAAAATAACGTCCACCACGCTGCACCTGCATCACTGTCAAAATATAAAAGGCTATTACAAATCACTTGAACGCAATCCAACACTTACATCCACATAGATCGGCTGCATTTAAAAAAAGAAAAGAAAAAACCTTTTCGGGAGCAATAATACGCCGCAGAAATGCACTCATTCAAATAATCTGGGCTCCACATTTACATACGTACATATATAAATATATCGCCCACTTTCTGCCAGCACCATAACTACAAACTGCAAATCTTATGTCTTTTAGCTGCTACATAAACGGATGACTTCCTGACATGTTATGCAGGGGGAAAAAAAATCCTCTCTTACCGGATAAAGCGGGTCAGACACGAGTGTAAGAGCTGCGGCTGCAGACAGCGAGAGAGGCGAAAGGAGGGAGGGTGATAATGAGGAAGAGGAGGAGGAGGGAATACAGCCGGCCCAGAGCCTATCAAATTTGTCAAACAGAGGCCTATAATATATATCTATATATTAATTTATTATTGGTGGGGGGGAATAAACGAGAAAATAAAAGCGCTCCAAATCAGGTTACTGATTGATTTATCTTGAAATAGAAATCAGGATCACATCCAGAAAATAACTGCAATTAAAAGTGTGATGATGAGGATGTTTTGAATAAGCAGGGTGATGTAAAGCATCGGTACACGTCAGTGTGGCTAAACAACCACCGGTTTAGAAGCTAGGCTGAACGTATTTTCCTGCATAGAAGATATATCTATATATCTATATCTCTCTCTATATATCTATATAGATATCTATATAGATATATGAAACAGAAGCCTAATTAATTGTGTGTGTTTCCCTCTCTTTGTTCTAACGGTTTGATTTTTGTTGTATACGGCTGAAAAAGGACACTCCACTCTTAGACTGGGCTGAGTCTAGATCTAGTTTTTAGTCTCTCCATCATGTGCATTTACAATATTATACCGTGAAAGAGTGGATGGTTATGCAAAACCTCTTAAAACATAAAGGACCATTGTTGTGTCTTTGTTTTATAGTGGTAAATGACTGAAACAGATTGTATCCAGCGATAAGGTTAAAGCAGGAAAATAAATCCAAAGCACTGTATGATGTAGTTAATCTTTACAAAAATGCATTCTGGGTATTCAAGTGTTTCCAGCCTGTTTATGATGGAGCTATAACAGCCACGGATGCGCTCTCCTTTGGAATAATGAATTTTTATTAGCTGCTACTCACCAACTCTAACTGACTGTAGCTTGTGAATTTTAACCTTCTGGATCTTAAAATGCGAACGACATGCTGCAGGCTCGTGTTTAGAAGGCACATGTGTACAGCAAAGCAGCTTAAAGTGAAAACGCAAAGACTGCAGGACGAAACAGCGACACACTTTGGCGAGAAACGAGACGATCGCCTCGTGAAAATGTGTCCACAGTCCACGACCAGTTTTTGTTGGGTTTTATTAGAATATTGATCGAATGTGTGAAGCCTGTCCGTGTGCGCTTCTTGAAACATAGAAATAGATAAAAGGGAAAGCAAGAGAGAAACATAAAGCTTGTTTTTTTAGCTGAAGACTCAACCTACATATTCAAATGAAAAGAAGACAAAAATATATTCAGATTGAATTTAATTGCTAAAAATCTACATTTTGAATTTTAAAAAAATGAATATTTTAATTGTAGAAAAAGTTGCAGACTGCTGACGTGGTGAAAACAACGCTTGTAGGAAATAAAACATACAGCTAAAACTGTCTTTGCATAATATTTCCTTTGTAAACTGCAGTTACAACAAATTATTTTATTAGATGTAATTTCATATAGTAGCATTAAAGAATGCTCAATAATCGTAATTTTACCTTTTCAGATAAGTAAACGTGATGAAAGTCAAAGTGAAAAATGCTAAAATGCTAAGTTAAAGTTAAAGGGTTAAAGTGTCTCACTCTGTAAATGTTCCACTTCTTCTTCTACTACTACTACTATTATTATTATTATTATTATTATTATTATTATTATTGTTAATATGTATTTATTTCTCCTTTATTCGTCATACAGTT